AATTTTAATTATTATTTATATAATATTAAATTTTTATTTAAATTTATATTTAAAATATTCAAAGTAACTCTACTAAAAATAACTGACAGCAGAACTTTATTTTTGTTAACTCTTTTTCTTAGTCTAATTTGATAGGTATTCTCTCAACCTCAAGGTGTCCATGTTACCAGAAAAATGTCTTTAAAATGTCTTTTTAAATTCTATCAAGGGTTCATGTTCCATTTAATGTGTAATATTAGATTTCCCAGTATGTAGTTTGCTTTCCGGATTAGTAATTATTGAATGAGCCTTTTGTTATTAGCAAACAATATAGTAGATACTCTTTGAGAATTAGGGACAAGATTTCATCATTTCTTGCATGCCTTAATTTCAATTATTCGTTTGGTTATGCTGATTCGCAAAAAGACATGAAATAATTGTTCATTTAAGATTATGACATAAAGGAAGGATGATGAATTGCTAAATCCTTCCTGTATATTTCCAAAACATTCTTTTGCATTAAAAAAAAAAAAAACTTGTATTTATTAAACGCATGTGCATGATAGATGAGGAACTTAATACATAGTTTCACCATAAGATGCTCCAACTTTGAGTAACAAAACATGATATGGTTGTCAGATTGTTCTGATGAATGAACAATGCTTATTAGAAATAAAATGTTACTAAAACCTCACCTTAGACCGTTCTATGAAGAACAAATTTCGGAACATCCATGTATCTTGCTTTGTTTGGTGCCCGCTTTACTTTCCATCCTTTTGTTAAAAGACATCTTCCTTCATAGCCAGCATTTCTGAATAGTGCTTGCTTTATGTCTTTGAAACTTATCAATGTCCTCTGCTCAGCCACCCAAAACCATTAGAGGAAAGAAGAAACCAAAAACCATCAGAGAAAATATACATTACAGGAAATATTTGTGATCATTGAAGGACTTATTTAATTAAACTTCAGAAACTTTTTTAAGATTGTGGGACATACTTCTGAACAAGAGGCTTGCATAGAGAAATCATTAAAGCAACTAATAACACATTGTTGAATTTCAAGTCCTAGTGTTTCCAGTGTGCTCACTGTTGATGGTAACAATCTTGGTTTGGCTGCACAGCATATATCAACCGTGGTATCCTTTTCTCTTCTCTCCACATCGAACTGTTTTTCCATTATTGGGAATGAATGTTGAGCACAGAGAAATGTGAATTTTACTAATTTAGTGGTTAATGTAGAGAGAAAACCTCACCTTGGCGGTGTTTCTGACCATTACTTCATCTGGCTTTAGCTCCTTCCTTAAGATACCAGCTAAGTTCATTGATATGAACCGAGTTTGGTCGCTTCCTGTTGCTGTTTAATAATCCGTTCAAGAAGTTCTTTCATGTAATCAATGGTATCTCCAAGTATAGATGTTCTGTCCATCTGCTAATATTGTCATCCCTCTATAAATTTCATTGCTTTATTTAGTTAAAAATGAGAATTTCAACAAATGGAAAAAAAGGGGAATGACCTTGCTAATCTTAGGGACTACTGATCTGAGCATTGAAAGGCAATCTTTTAGTCGCTTCCTTCTCCTTGTCTCAGCTATCAGATTCTTTGAGGGCTGCCCTTCTAATCTCTTTGACTTAGCCTTTCTCTCTCCACACATGCCCATGTTGAGAACTTGAATTTGTTGATTTGCTCCACCTGAACATTGCGGTTACCATTTCTCTCTTCCAAATTGTGATGATAGTCACCGCTGAGGAAACCAAGCTCTTCGTTATCAACCATTGACAGGTAGTACGTCTTCTTGAGGTTGAAATGGAGTGTCATTCCTGGTGTCGGGTGAACCCAACTCTGGCACTGTGAATCCATCAATAAGAGCATAAGGGTGATCAGTAAAAGGACACTCAATGCCAGGCTCTGCTGGCATACAGAATCCTAAAAAAGGAGGATTTGGTCTAGTCAAAGTTGGGTTGTCATCAAAAGAATCAAAGTTCCATCCATTAGGGAGGAACTCAGTCACCCCAGTGGTAAAAGTTGTCCAACTTCTCTTCTTGGAGCTAGTAACTCCAAGAAGCCATGTTGTGAGAGCTCCATCGAACTCTCTTAAAGTCTCGAGAAGGCCTGAAGAGGAGGCTTGATGACATGAAGTTGCACTAAGTTAAAGGAATATATAAACATATATAAAAACCATTCTTTATGATTAGTAATGTGCTAATTATTTGCATGTTGTTAGAGCAACAGAAGCCTGAAGATTGAAATGGAATCTGCTTCTCTCTCCCTCTCAAGGTGTACATATTTATGTCCTTTTCACTGAAATTAGCTTCGACGCACAAATGCAGTTTGCATCTCTGTTTATTTCCTAATGTGTCTTTAATATTATTTCTGATTACTGATTGATGACCAGTGTTACACAATAATGCCCCCTCAGTCCCACCCTTCTCTCTCACACTCTTAAACGGAAATATGCTGGATTAGGTCCCATAAGTCAATGCCCTACCTAGGGGAGGATCCCAAGATGATGGTGGAAACCCATGCCCGTGTGAGATAGGTAAGGATCACAAAGATGATGAGAAAACCGTGGCCCCAAATCGTGTCAGTTTTCTTGGAATACTGTGGGGGCTTTTGTTTGCATTGCATTAGTCAGGAAATAGAATTCCTCACCCATAGTCCCATAAGAGTATCTTCCTTTAAAACTGCTTTTCAGTCTCTTTTATTTGTCTGCTCTCTTCTGGCTTTGACTCGGTACCATTTCCGACATGGATAATGGGTGATCAGACGACGGAGCTGTCGGTGCTTTGGCTTTGGATTTGGTTGCCCTTCTCGCCCGTGCAAATGCCACTTGACACCATGATTGGTTATTGAGAATAATAGTGAGTTGCCATAACATGAACCTGAAATCTTTAGTTTAAGTTGAATACTATGCTGCAATATATATTGTGATACGATGTTATTTGATTCAAAGGTTTTTATTTTGTTGTCTAAATCTACAAAACAAGAAACTCAAAATGAAATCGATAAGAAATAAGCGAGAAAAGATAAGAACCATCATTGGCGTGTAATGAACTGCTCCTAGCCTATATAAACTATCAGTGTTACTCCAATTGCGCTAAAGTGGTAAGATGTGACTCATGACTTTGCTTTTATGTTTCTTTTGTTTGACATTTTGTTTATTACCTCTTTCGCAGCTTTCTTCAGTCTTCCCTTGTTTCCGGCCGATTCAACCTGTCTGCAGCTTTTGATTGACGTTGATTCCAAGTAATGAAATCTGGGAACACCCAAAACATAAGACAATGAAACACTAGTAATTATCAAAGTTAAGTAATTAAAGATTACTCCAAACTGTCTTGCCCTAAACCGGCTCGTCCTATGCCCCACCGGCAACTCCCATTACCATTAGCCCTACATCTTTGTTCGTTTTCCGAGAGGCCGGAAAATCATGGTAAGACTATTGACCATGCTGTAAAACCGGCTCGTCCTATGCCCCGTCCCCATTAACATTATTAGCCCTACATCTTTGTTCATCTTTCCATAGGCAGGAAAATCATGGTAAGAAAAGTATTCCCATACCAACTATTGACCATGCTGCAAAACATGAAGCTTGGAAGATAGAGGTAATCTTAAAATTGAAGCAAAAGTCGTAACCTCAATCTGTCCTCAGACTCAAAACTCTGCTTTTGCTGTTGTCTCGAAATGAGGATCAACATATTGTGTGGCACCACCAGAGATTACATGCAAAGTTTTAAAAACCGAACCGGAGGTCAAACCGTTTTGACCTCCGGTTCCCGGTTTAGCCGGTTTAGCCGGTTTAACCGGTTCAACCGTTCAAACCGCCGGGTCATTTCAAATGAATAAATATAATGTTGTGTAGCACTTTTACGGAACAGGTCCGGTGGATCAACTGGTTTGTAACCTTGCCCATTGTGGAGGAGGCACAAGTTCGAGCATGCTCCATGTTAAAATGTATGTTGAGTGTTTTTAAATTTTTAATGGGTTTTTTAATATATAAAATGTATAATATATGTAATTTTTTAATTAATTTATATAAAAAATATAAATATTGACTTTAAATTAATTAATTAATCAATTAAAAGCATCTATGTAAATATTAATTTTTATAAGTTTTTATTTAAATTAATTATAAATATATGTAAAAATTTATATTATTATATTTCTAATTTATAATATATTAAGTTTTTTTACACATATTAAAGGTGAAATAAATATATTTTTAATTAATAAAAAATACATATTAATTGTAATTCTTTAAAAAATTAAAATCTTAATCTTAAATTATTTTATTTTATTTTATTAAAATTTAATTTAAAATTTAAAAATATATTCTATTAAATATTGAAATTTAAATTTAGAAACTTATTGAATTTTTAAATTTTAAATTAAAATTTTAGTTTTAAATATAAATTGAAATTTTAATTCTTTTAGAAGTGAGATTAATACGTATTATTTTTATTAATTAATTAAAAAATTATAAAAGTTGACTTTAAATTAATTAATTAATCAATTACAATCATTTTACGTGTTAATAGTATTAAAATAAATATCAATTTTTATTTTTTTTATATAAATTAATTATAAAAAATTATATTTATCATACTTTTAATTTATATATTTAAGATAAAAATTAGAGTAACACTATATTAATTTTAATATCAAAGTTCATACAAGGGAAGGAAGTTCGATTCGGCTGGATGGTATAATCAATTCTTTTCTTTCAAAAATAAAATAAATAAAATAATTAGCAAATTATTTCAATCAAAGAGATAACGTCCTAGTGGCAAAAGTCACAGAAAGTCTTCTAGAAGTCATGTGTTCAAGCCTCCGGGGTGGCAAATTTAAGGTAAATCCTCCAAAGGATTTAAACCGTCCGGTTGAACGGTTTTACCGGTTTTGAGCGGTTCAACCGCTCCACCGGTTCTAAATGTTGAGCCGAACCGTTTTGATACCGTATACCGGTCCGACCGGTTCAACCGACCGGTCCGGTCCGGTTTTTAAAACATTGATTACATGTCCAGCCCAATCTTTTTACTCCAGATCTCTAGCCCATTAAGGTCCAAATTCGAGGATTTTCATGGGCTTTTAAAAGGTCGGGGCCCGTTGTATTGATGATGTCATAAATTATAAGTAAAAACTTACTTCTAACCTTTTACCTTAATAAATTTATAGGTTTTGATTCCTCACTTTATATTATAATACTTTTAATTTTTTATCTATATGAATTAAAAAAAAACCCTTATTTAATATCTCGTTAGCTGACTGTTAGTTCTGTTAACTAACTGTTAGTTCTGTTAGTTGACTGTTAACATTCCGTTATAGAAAATATAAAATTTAAATTCAATTTTATTTATTAATTCTATTAATAAAATGTTAACAGTCAGTTAACATAATTAACAGTCAGCTAATAGAGTTAATAGTCAATTAACAAAATTAACAATCAACTAACAAAACTAATAATCAACTAATAGAACTAATAAAACATTATAATTTGACATTAAGTAAGGGTTATTTTTTTCAATTTGTATAGGTGATGGGTTAAAAATGTTATAGTATAAGATAAAGAATTAAAATCTATAAATTTATTAATATAAAAGATTAAAAATAAAATTTCACCTAAATTATATTCATTAACCAATTAAATTAATAATTAATAGTCGTCCTTTATACCATGCAATATGCAGTATGCAGTCCATTCAAAATATCAGTCGTTAAATAAAAATTCACTCAAATATGTCCCTATTAATTTTAATAACGAGTGATTCTCAATTTTGAAATACTTTTGTGAATAATTATAAAATTTTTTATTTTGTAATTCTCATTTGTTCCAAGTGCAAACAAGATGATTGGGAAGTCAAAAAATTTTTTTTTCAAAAATGATAATTATACAAATAATATTAATACTTATTTTTAAAAATAAGGAAACATCAAATCTAAAACTTAAAACTTCACATTACAAAGATATCGTTACTTCGCTTCTC